CTTTCATATCACTGCAAAAGCCTACAACCACCTCTTCAATGCAGGGAGGTCATTGAACATCCTCCCATTCTCAATTACCATGTTAGGACCGGCCTCAGGAGCTTCTAGGAGCTCGTCATCACGTCCTTCTACAAAACGCCTGATCGGAATGAGCAAGATCGTTGAACTCGTGAACTCTAGGATCACGGCGGCCAGGAAAGATACGCCTCAGCATCTCAACATCACTCTCTGTCAGCTCTCCAACAGGATGATCATCATCAGAATCAAGAGCCCTAGCCATCTCATATGGCTCCGAATCATGCATAATTTCAACACTATTGGAGCCATGGAATCCATCTCCAAAGTGCACTTGCACAACAACAGGGGGCACATCCACATTCTTAGGAATGTCTTCTGCAACATAAATAGAGAAATGAGGAAAGAATGAAAGAAATAGATGTAAGAAACGGGGTAAGCTCTCAAAAACCATGCGGTTAAGACACTTACTTGGATGATTCTGTGTCAAAGGGATCTCATGAGGAGGATCTGCCACGAAAACATGAGTCTGACAAGCATCTCCAACTACCGCATTGGGGCCAGATTGAGCATCAGGAACCGTAAGTGCAATCTCCACATGAATATAAGGTTCCGAAACGAGAGGGTCGATGTGTGCCTGCTGATCCATTGGTGGGGAAAACCCATAAGGGATGGGATCAACTAACACCCGACGCACAACCATGTCCAAACATTACAGCTGGCTCTTCATAGCCGATCTCACATAGTTCTTCCACTGATCCGCACAACCAATTGAGATCATTCGCCTGAGGATGTTGGGAGGAGAACCTAGGTGCAGTACACCATCAACTGCAATGCCATCATCTCCAAGGCAATGCAGCTCCTCCCGAGCCCTTGCAACCATCTCACTAAATGAAGGCCTATCATTGAATAGCACAGGCACGTTTTGTATGTCAACAAACTCAACATATCCATATCGATCGCTTTCAACGGTGCCTCCATGATATATGGTCACTAGGTTGTCCATCTAGTTCAAACACGTAACGAAACACATGTTCTTTAGTCCAAATTAGCCGATAAATAGTACCTAACAAGTACTTTCTAACTACAAACTAAGTAAATAAGATAATAACTACGTGTATATATATACACTGTACTCACTAAATAGCTAGATCATATTTATTTAACTAAATATGTAACTACATATCTAAGTAGCTATCTAACTATATCTATGTACATATGTATCTATGTTTCTATCTATCTACATATATATCTCACTAGATCACTAACTAAATCAACTACCTGAGTCATCACATTAACTAGTAAATAACAAATGCCAACTAAGTAGGTACATTGCATATTCATAATTTTTACCTTTCCAACGACTGATCCGCGGACGACAGGCGTGGGTCAGGCCGACGATCCGGGCCGGCGGTGGCACGGCCGGCCGCTACAGGTGGCGGGGTCGGCGGTGGCGCGCGACAGGGGCGGGATGCCCTGGTCTCCGCGCGGCGAGTCCGGCTCGACGGGCGCAGGAGGCACGGTGGCCGCGGCCGCGGCCGAGGCCAACGGTGGAGGGCGGCAAGGCGGGGCGAGGAGAGGGCGCGGTGGGGGCGCAGGAACCGGCGAGGGGACCGGGGCGCGGGCAGAGGGGCGCTGGCCGTGGCGCTGCGCGGGCGGCCAGCCACGGGCAACGGCGCGGCGCCGGGGGGCGGCGCGGGCTGTGGCGCTGGCGGGCGTGGGGGCGGCGCGGGCGCGGCGCGGCGTGGGCGAGGCGGCCGGTGGAGGCGCGTGCGCGGGCGGCGGCGGCTACGAAGCTCGACTCTGCTCTGCTAGGGCGAGAGAGGGAGAGGAAGAGAGGAAGAGAGGGGCAGGGCCCATAGGTAATAAAGGCTCGGCGCCAATCACTCTGGCGCCGAGCTCGGCGCCAAGATCTACGGCGCCAAGCTCGGCGCCAGAGCAACTGGCGCTGAGCTCCTTGCCATGTCACCTCCCCCGTTCGCTTCGAGCCTAGGAGCTTGACGCTAAGGACGCTGACGTCGAGACGTGTTAGCTTGGCGCCAACATCAATGACGCCGAGCTAAGGGTTCATATTATGAAATCTTTCCTCCAGGGGTTTATTTATGAGAAACTTAAAAAAAAAAGGCTAAAATGTAAAAAGTTCGGAGTTTCGAACAGCTAAGGTTGTCTCCAACATGAGACCCATTAGGAGACTCAAACTTAAAATGGGTCTTCAACACAATGCCTACAACCTCAAACAACCATTTTAAATGTCAGAAGAGGTATAACCCAAATCTGAGTATCCTCTCCTAGAGACACATTTATAGAAGGTGTTCTTTTTAAAGTTTTATTGTTGGAGAAGATAAAAATAGATACTGAACCATTTGCCTGTAGCACTACCCAAACGTAAAATGCGTCTTATATTTTGAGTAACGGTTGTTGAAAAAAGACTAAGACGAGTCAAATCCGAAGCGATTGGCAAGCGCTGTTGCACACACATGAAATTCTTCGTCTGTAGCGTACTAGCGCTATCTAAACGTAAAATAAGTCTTATATTTTAGGTAAGGGTCGTCGAAAACAGAGACGAGCCAAATCCGAAGCGATTGGCAAGCGCTGTCGCACGCACATGGAATCACGCGACGCGAGTGATGAGATGTGCACGCGAGGCTCGCCAACACTATGCTACTCCTGGGAAGGCCAGTGATCGAGACATCGGCTTCATCCATTGGAAATGCCAAAAAAATTTTCTGCCAATGTTTAAGGGATGGATTCTCAAATCCGGATAGCACTATTTACCATATTTTAATTTAAATCTAAATCCAGATATAAATATAGTTGAATACCAATATAAAATGGATACCTTGAATTTGAATTCACATTCAGATATGTTATCTCGAATATAAATATACATTCAATTCACATTTGCATATCTAATTGATTCGGATGCGGACATAGGCCATATCTCGAATTTGTCATAAATATAAGCTTTAGATGTCATTTTGTTTTTTATAGATATGGAAAATGTCAGATATTTCGTATTTTTTGAATATGGATACGGAATCGAATAAAAAACGAATTCAAATACATCCATTTAGATCTATATCTATATTGAAATAGGATACGAATACAGATATCCACGTCGACGCTATATGAATATGGGATGTTTCAGTTTTTTGGATATCAAGATTCAAGATCCATCCCTGCAAGCGGAGTTGTTACAGATTCCATAGTCCACCAGTGCCATTAATCTAATCGTCCCTGACCTTTCTTCCGAATGCAACGGGGAAGTCGCAGTCTATGCAGTAATGAAGACAGAATGGGCGGTGCGCTGGTGCGGCTGCTCCACCCAATCAGGAGAGTTTCCGTGACACGGAAAGCTCGTTTTGGATGAGTGGATGACCATCAGACCAATCTTGACGTCACTGCATCAGTCAGCAGGCCCCCCGAATTCAACCGAAGCCTGATCACTCCATCAGATTCTAATTTGCAGCAGTAGATATTTTCTTCACTAACTCTGCACATCGTTTCTCCCTAGGTTTGCTTCGAGTTCTGCTGATCTGCTTTGATTCTTTGCTTCTTTTATTCCTACTGCAGCATACCTCAAATCTTCCATGTTGTCAAAAAAAAAAAACCCCTCAAATCTTCCGTCGTGTAGGCCTTACAATCTTGTGATTGCTGGAATTGGTACGGAGTATGTAGTGGAACCCACTGCAATTGAGTCATCGCCCGAAAAAAGAACCTTTGCGATCCAGAGGTGATAATCTCCATCTGACCTGTTGATAGATACCCAGAAAGTAAACAGTGCTGGAATTGTTTTTTTTTAAGATAATGGAACATTGGAAACAAACTAAGTCATGGTTCTTTCATCAATTAAGCAGCAAACTGTTAAATCACAAGAAGAAAACAGACTGTTGACGAGATGCCTTCAGTTTCACCAGTTACCGCCCTTCTCCCTTCCAATCAACTGCATCTCACTCCACATTCATACACATCCTCCATCAGTATTATGCTAAGAAGAAATCGTGACACTTGAGTCATTACACCATATTCTAATTTTATGACGATAAATAGAAACAGCTAAATCAATGGTTGCACAAAGAGACTAGACTAGAAACATGGTCAATTCTGGAAGGAACAAACAAGACAAAGTTGAACAATATATTAAAGTTAGGACATTTAATTTGGAGTATTGCAAGATTTGAGAACCTAATCGCATACAAAATTTTAAGTTCCTTTGTTAAGTCATTCAAAATGAAAAAGTACAGATATAAATGGGTCTTGTTGCAGGTTATAGCACAAGTTACTTTCACATACCTATAGAATTCAACAAGTTCTGGCAACAATTGTGAAAGTTGGGGATGAATATTTACTGTTTTTCGGTAATTACTGCTCATAACCCCTATTGCCATCCAAAAACCATGATACGATGCTGAACCTCTTTTATGACTAAAGATTGGTGCTTTTATTTGTTTGTAGAGCCAAAAAGTCACATGTAGTACCATCTCAATTACCTGCCATAATTCATTCCTGAAAAGCATCCATGCAGGCTATCTCAAAAAAGATAATGATGATCAGATGACATCATCCATTCCATTACTAAGAACTCAAACCAAACTTTCTTCTGGTACAAGTAATTAATGAGTACCAGATGTAAATTCACCAAATCAATGATGAACTCCAGCCTGGTCATTTTGAATCCTTACCATCCTCAGGATTCAAAGCTCTTCAACACAGACAACAGGATTGGTTGTAGGCTTTCATGGCATACTGCTCAATAACTTGAGGCCTTCATCCACACGCCTTTGCTCAGAATAGCCATTGACAAGGGAACTATGAATCTTACTATTAGGGTTACATCCGTACACTGACATTTGCTCAAAAACTTCAGTTGCCATGTCAACCAGCCCATTCTGGCACAATGAACCAATGAGCATACTGAATGTTGCTTCATCTAGAGGGCACTGCTTTCTAAATATCTCAGCTATAAGCTCCCTGGCATCCTCCCATCACTTTGCTCTACACAAACCCTTCAGTGCAGCGCTGTAGCAAATGGTGTCAGGCTCACATTGCATGTTTCTTAGTAACTTGAGAGTATCTTCAGCACGGTTTTGTTCAGCAAAGCCATTAATGAGGGAACTGTAAATGAAAACATTAGGCATGTATTCATACTTAAGCATTAGCTCACAAACTTCAGTTGCAGACTCGAGAAACCCTTTGTGACACAAGTTATTGATTAGTACACTGAATGTTAGCCTGTTCGTTTGGCTGTGGCTTGTCGTAAACGATCGTAAATTTCCAGCCAGAACAGTATTTTTCTCTCACACAAACCAGCCAGCAGTACTTCTTCACGAACCAGCAACGATACAAACCAGCCAACCGAACAGGCTGTGTGACTTCATCTGGCAGACAGTTCTTTCTAATCATCTCCAGTATCAGTTCACCAGCATCCTCCCGTCGCTCAGCCCTACACAAGCCTTTCAATGCAGCACTATAGCAAATGGTATCTGCCTTGCAGGGCATGTCATTCAGTAACTTCAAGGCATCATCTACACACTCTTGTTCAGAAAGGCCATTGATAAGGGTGCTATAGATTATAACATTAGGCATACAATTGTACTTCGGCATTTTCTCAAAAACTTCAATTGCACACTCAACAAAACCTTTCTGGCACAAATAGCTGATTAGGGTACTAAATGTCACTTCATTAAGGAGACATTCATCCTTAACCATCTCAGCTACGAGCTTCCCGGCATCCTCCCATCGCTCGGCTCTACACAAACCCTTCAACATATAATTATAGGTAACAACATTTCGTTTGCATGACAAGTTTTTGAATAGCTCGAGGGCATCATCCACACTCCCGTTTTCAGAAAACCCATTGATAAGAGAATTGTACATGATAATATCAGGTGAGCATCCAAACTTTGTCATTTCCCCCAAAACTTCAGCGCCATAGTCAACTAGCCCTTTTTGGCACAAACAGTCGATGATCAACCCGAATGTGACTTCATCAAGGTTCATCTGGTTTCTAATCATCTCAGCTACAAGCTTCCCAACATCCTCCCATCGATCAGCTCTGCACAGTCCCTTCAGTACGGATCGATAGCAAACAGTGTTAGGTTTCCATGGTATGGTTCTTAGTAACTCAAGAGCATCATCCACACAGCGATGTTCAGAAAAGGCGTTAACTAGGGCACTGTTGGTGAAATTATCAGGTTTACATCCATACTTGGGCATCTGCTCAACAACTTCCATTGCACAGTCAACCAAACCTCTGTGGCACAAGTAACTGATCACTGTGTTGAATGTAACTTCATCTGGGGGGCAATCCTTTCTAACCATCTCAGCAATAAGTGCTCCTGCATCCTCCCAGCGCTCATCTCTACACAAACCCTTCATCACAGATTCACAGTGTTGTAACTAAAGATGTCAGGTTTGCAGGGCATTTGGTTGAATAAATGAAGAGCCTCCTCAACGCGCCCTAGCTCTGCAAGGCAACTGATGATTTCATTGTAAACAATCACGCCCCGTGTGCACCTGCACTTGGACATCTAATCAAGAACTCCCATTGCACGGTCAACCAATCCATTTTGACATAACGAATGGATTATCATACTGAACGTGAGATCATTTGGGGGGCAACCACTCCAGATCATCTCGGAGAGAAGCTCCTCGGCATCGTCCCACTCCTCGTTACACAGGCCCTTGAGCAGGGTGCTATTGGCGTACGAGTTGGGGGCGAACGGCATGTCGGCGACGAGGCGCCGGGCGTCGTTGAGGCGGCCCTCGCGGCAGTAACCCGCGACGAGGGTGTTATAGGTGACGACATCGGCGGAGCCGGAAGCGGCAAAGGAGGCCAGCATACGCTCGGCGTCGGCGAGACGACCCCCCGAGCGGCAGTACCCCGCGACGAGGGTGTTCCGCGCGACGGCATCGGCGGTGCCCGCGCGCTCGGAGGCCCCGAGCACACGCTCAGCGTCGTCGAGGCGGCCCGCAGCGCAAAGCTTCTTGATGAGGAGGGTACAGGGAACCACGGCGGGTCGCTCGGGATCCCGCATGGACTCCACAAGGAGGAGCGCGGCGTCCAGGTCGCCGAGGTGGACGAGGTGGTGCAGCCGCTGGTTAGCCCCGCTCCCGCCCGCGCCGCGCCGGGGTGGGGGTGCCCGCGGGTTGACCCACCTGGAGGTAGCCGCCGCGGAGGAGGAGAGGCGGATGCGGGCCCTGTGAAGCTTGTGGTTCGTGGGAGGGAAGGGGTGGGCAGAGACGGCAGCGGTGGGAGGCGAGAGCGGGGAGGTGGTGCCGGCGGCGAGAGCTGGGCGTCTCATTTTCATGGTCCGCGCGCGTCGACAACGGCACTGATCAGGACTGGAGTGGATGACAGGATGCGAACTGGAGTGTTCGACTCTGAAGCAAGAGATTGGATAAGGCCATGTCTTTTTTGAATTTTGCTAGATATCCGTCGACTGTTTTTTGTTGTTTTTTATCTGTCAAATTGTAGTCCGTTGATTCTGTATCAAGATTCGTGCTTTTATTTTGGGCGTATATGTCTGGTGAGTGGTAACAGATCCGTAAACCAGGGACATTTAACTTTTTACCATTATAACGGACAGCCACTCTCCAGATCTCACTTTGCCGAGTTTGCATAATTTTTCAGCAGCGGTGCTCGCCCAACCATACATTTTTACCACTTTTGCTGTCGTGGCGCTCCAGGACAGCGTGCCACGTCGGATCCGCGCACGCGAAGGGGGCAAAATGACCTCGCCTGCCCCTGGCCCCATCCTCTTAGCTATACAGGCCGGTCTGAGGTGCTCCAGCCGGCCCATTTGCCCTCCCTCATGTCTCCTTCTTCTTCCCTTGGCTCCGGACACACTCGCCGCCGCCGCCGCCGCATTCCTTCCCTCCGTCCTCCACTGCACTCACCTGAAGGCTTACTGGAAAAAAGGTATGTCCCGTCCGGACCGACACTCTCATTCCCGTTTTTTGGTTTGCACTGGTATGATTCGAGGTTCGGGTTAGGGTGTTTGAGAATGATGTTGGACCTGCTCTTTTTCCTTTGACAGTTCATGTAGTAGAGGGAAACGTAGACGCAATGGACTGGAATTCGAGGAGTGGTTGCCCTGTTTGGTAAGAACCCTAATCTTCTAGGTCATTTTCTCTTCACTTTGATGGGATGGGACTACGGTTTCTGTGTAGTAGGTTGTCCCTAACATCTGTTTTTTGCAAGGATTGATCCTGGTAATGCGTTTAGATTAGTTGTAAAGGTCTCTAAGTGGGTTGCTGAGGATGAGTACGGGCTAGTGGCCATGGCTGAGCAGGAACATGAAATCTGGCTTGATAGGAATGATCATTATACTCTTGCTAAGTTTCATGCTGAAATGGAAACAAAGGTAATCTGGGGACCTTCACAGACATTGGCAGTTTGGGTGGTTGAGCTGGACAGTCCCTCTCAATGGAAAATACGGAGGGATGAACATTTTCAGCAGCTTATACTTTCTAGATGGAATGAAAAAGAAGCAGTGCTTGCAGTGGATGTTGTCAATAAAGATGATGAATCAGTGAATACTTGCTCTGGTGTTAGGTTTGTCTCTGGTGTAACTTCTGCTGGCAGTGGTGTTCCTTGTAATGCTGGAAGTAGTCATGCTGGTGTTAATGGTCAAGGTAGTAGTGGTGGTACTGGTAATGGTCAAGGCAGTGCTGCTCCTGATATAACACAAGGTAGTGTTGTACCTGATACTGTTGAAGGCACTGGTGACACTTGCAGCAGTCCTCCTTCTATGCCACCTAAACAAGCACAACCAGTAGATTGGGCTCAGTTGATTGTTGAAGAAGAAGCAAATGAGGATGGAGACGCCAAGGCAGCAGTTGATGAGGATAAAGTTTATGAGGCTATGGGTTTTGCAGCAGCAGATGAGAGAGCTGATGAAGTAGCAAGGGAAGCTATTCCTATCCCTGCCATGACAGCTGAGATGCAGGCTGATATGGATGAGGCAGCTGTTCCAGTTGATGACCATGATGATCAAGAACCAATGTTTGACTGGGACAAAGAAAATCCAGATTTGTCTGTTGGTTTTTTTTCCATCCATGGATGATTTTAGGCTAGCAGTAAGACAATATGCAATAGTCAAAGATTTTGAACTTGCTACTGCTCATTTAGATACTGAAAGGTTTAGGGGACATTGTGCTTCTCTGGGATGTCCTTGGATAATTAGAGCTAGAACTCAGCATGGTGGGAGTGTCAGGGTACTAAATTTGCATTTTCATTGTTCAAACTAAATTTCTGAATTCTTTTTATGTTGGATTTTGAGGTGCTGAAATGTTTTGTTTTGGTGCAGGTGCAAATAAATGAAGGTATGCATACATGTGCTGGAAGGAATAAGGTGCCTGGTGCTATGGCCTCACAGGCTTGGGTGGCAGAAAGGGCATTACCATATTTGAGAAGGATGCCAAACATGGGCCCAACAACATTGAAGGAAGAGCTAGATGAAAAGTATGGCATTGATATCAACTACCAGACTGTTGTATATGGAAGAAAGAAGAGCTGCTGACAAGCTTTTTGGTAAGCTAGCTGATTCATTTGATTGGTTGTATAGGTTTAAGGCAGAGGTAGAATTGAGATCACCTGGTAGTATTGTTGAGGTAGACAGTGAGGAAGTTGATGGAAAGGTTTATTTTACAAGATTTTTCTGCTGTTTCAAGGCTGCCATAGATGGTTTTAGAAATGGGTGCAGGCCTTACATTAGTATAGATTCTACCCATTTAAATGGGCTCTGGAATGGGCAACTGCCCTCAGCTCAGGTATTGGATGGCCACAACTGGATGTATCCGCTTTTGGATTCTTTGAGTCAGAGACCAAAGAGAACTGGATCTGGTTTATGCAGCAGCTTAGCAAATCAATTAGCCCTATGGAAAATTTAGCTGTTTGCACTGATGCTTGTAAGGGTCTTGAGGCAGCAGTGGCTCAGGTTTGGCCTCATTGTGAGAAGAGGGAGTGTTTGACATTTGATGGAGAATTTGAAGAAGTATTATCTTTGGAGAGGTGTATGCCAAGAATATGTGGCCAAAGAACAAGGGCTTACACTCCAAACAAATACAAGTTCTTTTTTGACAAGGTTGTTCAAGCTAGCCCAGTATTATCAAGTGGCTCAATGAGCATCATAACCTACTTTGGGCCGAAGCAAGTTTAGTACAGAGATCAAATGTGATTACATCAACAACAATTTAGTTGAGTCTTGGAATGCTGGATCGAGATCTGTAAGGATCTCCCTCAGTACATTGCTTGGCTGATGCTATTAGGGAGAAGACATTGACTTTGTTTGCTAAGAGAAGAAGAATCTCTATTGCTTTGGGTCCTGACATCTTGCCTCTTTGTCATACACCAGCTAAATACAGACCTCCGGGGTCTAGGACACCTCAAAGTAAAGAAGGGTCATCCACATGAAGCGAAGTCACAGAAATATACAAGGATCAAGAGGTTAGGAGGCATGTTGTTTATCTACAAGAGCATGCATGTACTTGTAGGGAGTGGCAGCTCACTAGGAAGCCATGCCCACATGCCCTAGCTGTCATCACCAGCCAAAGGCAGCCACAAATGGGCTTGTTTGTTCACCAGTACTACTCTGTTGAGAAATTTCGAGCAGCATACCATGGTACAATCCCTCACATCACTGACAGAAACCAATGGCCAGAAGTTGACAAGGGTTTCAAGTGTCTTGCACCACTAACCAAGACAAAAAAGGGGCCAGGCAGGGAGAGGAAGAAAAGGTTCCTTGGACCATTTGAAACTAGTGGGAGAAGAACTAGGCAGACAAAATGCAAAGATTGTGGGGAATTTGGACACAGGAGTGGGAGCTGGAGATGCTCACTTACAGGCACAAGGAAAAGGTTAATTCTAAACCTAGGTTCTCTATCATTCTTACCAATACTTATATAATGTACCCTCATCTGTTTTGTTTCATGCTAGGAAGATGACAAAGAAGACAGCAGCAAAACCTGAAAGGTCAAAGAAGGGAAAGAAGGACCAAGCAGATGGGGAGGGCTCAAGTGTTCAATCTTCACCAAGAACAAGACTAGCAGCAGCTAGAGAAGCAGCTGACAGAGCAGCCAAAGCAGCTCAACTAGCTGCAGATAAGGCTGCAGTAGCAGCTGAAGCAGCCAGAAATGTCCCTGATGTTGAATTGCAAGTTGTGAACCAGCCAGAAGAAGCTGTTGCTACAAGGAAGATGACACCTAGGAGGAAGCAACTAGCTACCAAGATCAAGAAGACTCCAACAAAGAAGACATCAGGAACCAAGGGGAAGAAGAAATGAGACAAAGCTTCAATTCAAAATGTCTCTTATTTTGGCCCATGCTATCCTGAACTTGTTTAGTCTTTTCTTTTGAAAACTGTGATGAAAAACATGTAATGGATGAGGCCATAATACATCCTTGTGTATGGATGTCAAACTGTGCAAGTGGCCAGAACAAAACCAGTCATGTAATGCAATGCTTAACTGAGCAGTTTGTTTCTATCACTTGATTAGTTTGTTTCTATCACTTGATGAGTTTGTGATCTGTGCATTTGATGCCTATGCTCCATTCATTATCATCTGTGTTTCAGTCCCCCCATTGTTCATACACACAAAAATTGGAACATTGCTCACACAAAAGTAGGCTTATTTCATTTCATTGTTCAAACATACAGATCCTACATGGAAAGCAACCATTTTGAGTACAACATGTTACTTCATTGCAAAATACATCATTACACATCCAAACACTACATAAACAATACACAAAATGAATAAGTTCATCTTCCAGATCACATTGTCCAGCTTCTGCTCTAGGGGATGCTCCAGTGCTTGCCTCGGCTTGTCGACATTTGTGTAATCCACAGAATCAACTTCTTCGTCCAACATCCGTGCCCAGTTCGACGGCCGAACAACTATGACGCCATCGTCCTTTAGCTTCTGAAAGTACTGTTTCTCGAAACGATAGTAGCCACAAAGCTTGGTCGGATACTGCATAAACAAAACTGGTAGTAAGAACCCTAGCTCAGATTTCGGGAAATGATAGTAGCCACAAAGCTTCGGATACTGCATAAATGAAACTGGTAGTAAGAACCCTAGCTCAGATTTCGGGAACAAAGCACACCGACTGGATACTCACCGTGTTCCTTGCACACTTGAAATACAGTCGCCCCTGGTTTTCACCCTCCTTCTTCGTCCGCCCCTCAACCACCCTAGCCAACCCACATTATGGGAAAACGATCAGTGGAAAGCCGCTTAGCTCACCGACTGGATCGAAGTCGATGGAGTGGATGCGGGTGCTCCGGCCCCTTCAGCCTACTCCTGGC